ATTAAGTCCTATTTGTCTACTCTTGTTTTTATTGCACTTGCTTTTGGATTCTTAGCCATAAATGTTTTGCCTACGCCAATGTGTGGAATAGGCATTGGAGGATTAATATGCAGTAAGACAGTGAAGTTGGTGTTGGTGGCCCTGTCAGCCAAAAGCAAATTGCTTCTAGTAGCCTTTACTAACAAGTACACATACACATTTTCCAGTTCAACAGATGCATACCATGTACAAGGGGGTGTGTTAATTTGCTCAAGCAATGAGATCCCATCTGGTACAGTAGCTGCAATTGGAGTCACTGGCTGGTGAAACTTATGATAACCCACTGTCATCCTCCAGGAGCTAGTAGTTTTCTACACAGGCCAAATCTGTGAGAGAAGGGGAATGTGGTGATAATCGCTACTGCTGCGTCTTTCACGTCCTCGATGGTTGCATTAATCTCCACAAGTCCTCCAGGAATGTGAGATTGCTTTTGGTTTACTACTTCTGTAGAGAGAGGCAGCTCTAATGGCTTCTATTAGACCTTTCTTACTATAAAAGCCCTCATTCCAAGAACCACTGTGGGATTCTGCTAGATGCTGATTTTGTCTGCTGCAGTTATGCATTCTGAAACTGGGGAGGTAGCCACAGGAAGGGCTTGGGGACCTGCTAAACAGCTAAAACGTGCTCTCCAAGTCTTTCAGTTCCTTATTATCCTGGCTGAACTTTTAAACCCAGCTTAAAATCAGGTTTTGTTTCATTTTCACTGCTACTTAGAAAGCCTTAAGTGCATTCTAAAGAAATCCATAGTCTAAACATATTTGAGTTCCTAATTCCCTGATGGTTTCTGAGAAAATGCTATCTGGTTAGTAAGTATTTCAGAAGGAAATAGAAATCTTCCATATTATAGGAAAGACTTTTTTTTTTTTAATTAAAGAGTTAGCTAGACATTCAGAGTAGACAAATAGATAATTGCCTGCTCTCAATGAGCTAGCAGGGGATGGGATTTGGTCAATTTGTGGTCGTTTTATGAAAGTAAGACCATAGAATCCTATTTCCAATAGGGACAGGGAAAGGTATGATAGAGAGGGTAAAGGTTGTCACAGAGATTTCTAAACTGATGGGATTGGGGGCCTGAATAACAGAGAGCAGCAGAGTGGGGAGGGGGCTGTGTCTGGGCTGAGGAAGGCTGAGTGTGAGCCTGTACTCTCTAAATGGAGCACAGAGAGGTGGGCATCCATGAGGGCTGCCTTCCCCCCTACCTGGACACCAACACTCACCTGTCCCTTGAGAACCAAGAAGAAAACTAATATGCACCTCCCCTCAGCCCAGGAATGGAGGATATACCATTTTGTTTCTGGAATGATTAAGGCCCAGACATAGAAAAAGCTAATATGGGCTGGGCACAGTGGGTCACACCTGTAATCCTAGCATTCTGAGAGACCAAGGCAAGCATATCCCTTGAGCTCAGGACCAGCTTGAAGAGTGAAACTCTGTCACTAAGAAACAGAAAAACTTGGCTGGGCATTGTGGTATGCACCTATAGTCCAAGCTACTTGGGAGGCTAAAGCAGGAGGATCGCTTGAGCCTAAGAGTTTCAGGTTGCTGTGAGCTAAGCTGAAGCCATGGTACTCTAGCCTAGATGACAGAGTAAGACTCTGTCTCAAAAGAAAAAAAAGAAAAATCTAATGTGTTAACTTAAAAAGTGCCCTTCTCCCATCCATGCTCCAGGCTAAGAAAGGGAAAAGCCATTTCACAGATAAGGAACTGCAGGGTCAAGCAGAGGACTAGGCAGATACTCCTTGGTAGAGTGCAGATCTTGGTCAGATATAGATGCAAAGCAAAACTTGTGACCCAGCCTCTCAAAGACAGCCTTCCCTGCGGCCTCATTCTCTCTACCACAGACCCTGAGAGATGAGAAGGCCATTGCCAGCCCCTGCTTCCCTCCCACTCACCGTTGGAGCCTGGGTGTGGCTCTCAGACCTTTCCTGACTCCTCATCCCTTTCCTAAAGGCAACTTCTCCCTGGAGTGTCTTCTTTGGGGAGAACTCTGGGCCAACCATAACCATCAGAGATGTTTTAAAGACTTCCATTCAGGCTCGGCACCTGTGGCTCAAGTGCCTAAGGTGCCAGCCACATACACCTAAGGTGGCAGGTTTGAATCCAGCCTGGTCCTGCCAAACAACAATGACAGCTACAACCAAAAAATAGCCAG